AGACTGAAGACTGGAAAAGTTAGCTAGACAGAAGCACAGTGGAGTTGGAACATGTATCTCCTGATGCCCAGTCATGAGTTATTCATACTAGGCAAAAACTAGAAACAGGGCACCTTTACCTCACCATGCCATTTCTTGATTTTACCTAGAAATTGCTATGGCTTCTCCTCATGCTACTGACCCACCTCTCCGAAGATTCTCCACCCTGGGAAGAGCAGACAGATTCACGAGAAGCACCAGACTTAGAGCCAAATCACTTGATATTCCAATGACTCCACTATCTACCAGCCTATGATCTTGGGCTTATTACTTATGTCTCCAGCTTCATTATCCAGGGACTAATAAGACTAATCATGTGAAAACATGGAGATGATGTAAATTAAGTGACCAACACATTAGGTGGTAAAAATGAAACCACAACTCAGCAGCTGCTGCGTTGAGCGTGTGCTCCCTGGTGGTCAGTGCGCATCATAGCTACTGGTTGGATGGTCAAACGGTCGGATGGTCCCTTAGGCTTTTATATACATACATATTATTCTTATCCAGCTACTAAGTATTCAAATTCTAATACACGCATCTAATCTCTAGTTTATGCATCTATTGAGTCTTCCTCGTTTTTTCTTTTTTTTAATATATTTTTATTGATTTCAGAGAGGAAGGGAGGATAGAGAGATAGAAACATCAATGATCAGAGCGAATCATTGATTGGTTGCCTCCTGCACACCCACTACTGGGGATCAAACCCACAACCCAGGCATGTGCCCTTGGCTGGAATCAAACCTGGGATCCTTCAGTCCGCAGGCTGACGCTCTATCCACTGCACAAAATCAGCTAGGGCCCATTTTTTCATTCCTCAAATCATTGCATGTATAATAAAATTCTACAGCACTTAACATGACTTCGAGTATGTGCTAACTTAAAAAAAATGACTATTAACTATTTCAAACATACAGAAAAGCATGGAAAATATTATACTATCACCTATGTATGTATCCATTGAAAATATAGTGCTGTCTTGTATATTTTAAAACTTTATATAAGTGGTATCAGATTGTCCATATTATTCTATAACTTGCTCCATCCTCTCTAGCACTGTGTTTTTCAGATTTAGCTAGGTTGATATATGTAGCTTTGTCAGTTATTTTAAATGCTCTATAGTATTCAATTGTGAACCTACCACAATGTATTCCTACATTCTCCTACTGGTGGACATTTAGATTTCCCCCCAGTTTTTCTAAGCTTACAAAGAATATAGCAATAGACATCCTCCTCATGAGTGCTTCTTTGGGCACCCGTGGGAGAGTTTCTCTAGGGTACAAATTCGGAGGAGGAATTGCTAGGTTCATAAGATATGCCCATTTCAACATAACTAGCTCTTAACAAATTATGTTCCAAATTGCTATAGCACTTTCTTGTTGCAGTTTGTGGGGTTTCTTTGTTTGTTTATTTGTTATTGAGATATATTTTACATGCCATAAAACTTACCCATTTGAAGTGTGCAATTCAATAGTTTTTAGTATATTTGCCAAACTGTACAACTGTTACCCCAATAGAATTTTAGATTCATGTAATAGTGTTTTTATTTATAAATATACTTAAGACATCTCTTTGTAAAGCTGGTTATATGTTCTTTCCAGTGTATCCATGGAAATCCCCTGGGAGGAGCGAGTTTGTACAGATTTCCTTGTTTTAAACCTGTTTGAGTAGGTAGCTGGAAGGAACATTCCTAATTAGATTATGAAACTGCTTAAATGTAGGTTCCTGTTATTTGCTATAAAAAGCATTCCTATTTATTCACCTCAGAGTAAAATGACTCAGAACTAACTCTATTTGAAGAGAATGGGAGGAGTGTTATACCAAATAAAGAAGTTATTTTCCCCCAGAACAATTCTTGCTGAAGCCAGAAAGGGAGGGAGGTGTGAACCAGCATAGATGTTAGAGTAAACAGTTGTGAAAGCCAGTGCATTGGCAAAGGAGAAGAGAGCAACCATTTCCCTCCCTCTTAATTCTCCCCGACTCTCCGCCCCCACACACACAGGTTAGCTTGTTGAGCTTTTAATCAAATAATTTTCATGCTCTAAGTTATTAATTAATGAAACTTTCAAATACTGTTTACTCCAATTCAAACTTAATGTGTTAATTGACAATATGGATTGTCAAATATGACTTAAAATAAAAATTTATATAAAAACTAGAGGCACAGTGCACAGATTCGTGCACTGGTCGGGTCCCTAGGCCTGGCCTGCGGGGATCAGGCCGAAACTGGCTCTCCAACATCCCCTGAGGAGTCCCAGATTGAAGCACCCCAAAACTGGGCTCCCTCCTCTCTGATTCTGGGTGTGCCAGCCCCTGGTCACCTCTATTCTTCTCGATGAATTTGCCTCTTTTAAGTACATACAATAGTTGTCCCTTTGTGTCTGGCTTTTTTTCACTTAGCATAGTGTTTTCAAGGTTTTATCAATGTTGTAGCATGTATCAGAATTTTATTCCTTCTTAAGGTGCAATATTATACTGTATGTAAGAAGCTGGGTTTTTAATGACACCTCTGAGGCACCATATGTTAGGGGACCTCTTGTTAAGGTGGATGATAAGTTTACCTTATGGAGTAGGTCATGTGCATTGGGTTTTGTTTCTTAGAGCTGACAGAATCCTAATTGACACATTAGGCACAATTCAGATTCTTCTGTGAAGCTCTAGGGTAGGCAATAGGCCCAGAGTACTCAGATTGGAAGCTCTCTAGCATGTGGCACAATTCTCCAGCAATTCCTCTGGGTGTGTGAGCCACACCAACCAGCTATTTTGATAACCTTTTGTTAAAACTCTTGAGTTCAACATATATAATTATTCAGTACTTAACATTTTTCATCATAAAAAAACTATATTGAACTCCAAATCAAGTGAGACATTGTGTCTGGTGCTCTACAGAGGAGTACAGATTAATGCTTCTTTTGAAAATACTTTTCCACAATCTTCAATAGAGTTAGTAATAATCAAGTTTAGTTGAGGGTAAAGAATAAAAACATTTATTTAAGGAAAACCATCCAGCATCAATAGCTCTGAGTTTGGCAAGTATGAAGAGTGGATGATTAATGATTTGTTGGTGTATGAAATTTGAGATACAGGAAGCAGTATGGCAAAAAAAAAAAAAAGAATACTTATTAAATCTGAAAAAGAAGAGTTAGTAAGCTACTATGATAGGAAAGAACTTGAGATTAAGAAAATGTCATCATGCAATGAAAACAATCATCTCTTTAATAAGTACTAGTAGAGAAGGAGGCTAGACTTACTTGCAAGATTATGGGTGAATGTTCCTCATGGAATATTTTGGTTCCTGACTATAAAGAGGTGGACTGTACAAAGATGTGAGCAGACCCCAGTACTAGAAGGAGACACGGAGAAGTGGGATAAAGAAAAAGAAAAAATCAGGCAGAATGTCTCTGCTCGAGGGTCCCTATAAAAAAACTTATTTTTAAAAATCGGAGTAAACATGTATTATCATTTTTTTCTGTGACTATAAAAATATAATAAACAGCATGAGAACTACTGTAAACATAAGAATCCCCTTTCATTGTAAACATATATAAAGCCTCCCGATACTATATTATACATCACATTACAAAATTCTATTTTTTGCTGTTCCCTTTTCTGGTTCCTAGTTGTTCACATTCTTAGAGAGAACCAAGGCCTTTAGAGACCCATCAATCCAGTCCTTTTATTTCATAGATAAAGCGGGTAAGCAGCTTGCTCAAGGTCACATTCATCCTCAGTGGCAGAGACTGGACTAGAACCAGGTCTCCTGATCTCCCATTGGGTGCTCTTCACATTATAACATGACCTGGCTCATACCCCCACTCCTCCTGGTCTGTACCTAATGATTCTCCCTGAGTCTCAGCTGGGCAGAAGGGCTGTGAGGGAAAGGACAGGTCTGTCTGGGGCTTTCTGGGTTGCTATGAGTGTAGGACACTAAAGTCCTGGTTACAGAAAATGTCCAACATGAGGAGCTTCAGGCTCCAGGGGACATCTCCACCCTCCTCCATGGAGTCTCTAACCACCACACGATCAACTGAGCTACTAATCCAGTGATGGCGAACCTATGGCATGCGTGTCAGAGGTGACACGCGAACTCATTTTTTTGGTTGATTTTTCTTTGTTAAATGGCATTTAAAAATATAAAATAAATATCAAAAATATGTCTTTGTTTTATTATGGTTGCAAATATCAAAAAATTTCTATATGTGACACAGCACCAGAGTTAAGGGTTTTTCAAAATGCTGACACGCCGAGCTCAAAAGGTTCGCCATCACTATACTAATCAGTAGTGGGACTTGCCTCCAAGTATGTAAATTCCAGCAAAAAGAAAAACACACTTAACTGGATTTTTTTTAAAAGCCCCACCATTCTCACATCTATTTCTGATTTCATGTTCATCAGCACTCAACATTCCATATGTTCTATTCTGGCAAACCAGATTTCTGGGTGACACTATGGGGGATGCTTTATCACAACATTCATGAGGTGTCCCAAGAGGAAGGGTGGTCAGATCTCTTGGGGCCATTCTTACGTGTTTCCTTTGAGAATATATTTACTATTATTTTTTAATCCTCACTCGAGGATATATGTTCTTATTGATTTCAGAGAGAAAAGAAGGGAAGGAGGGAGAGAGGGAGGGGAAGAGGGAGGGGGGAGAGAGAGAGAGAGAGAGAGAGAGAGAGAGAGAGAAAGAGAAACATTGATGTGAGAGAGAAACATCAATCAGTTGCCTCCTGTTGCACCCCAACTGGGGATCAAACACGCAACCTGGATATGTGCAGGAATCAAACCTGCAACCTTACAGTGTATCAGACGACACTCCCACCAACTGAGCCACATAGGCCAGGACGAAAGTGTTATATTTTTTAAATGTCTATCATGCAAGTTTTTGTTCAAGGTTCAACACAAGAACTGTGAATTGAGAATATCCTTTGTCATAGTCATGAATTAGGAAAACTGTGACAGCAAAGTTCTTGAAACTTTCTCGAGTTTACTGAAAATTCAAAAAGTACCACAGTTCTTTGTCTGGCAGAAATTTATCTCCCTTGTGCTCTCTAGGTTCCTGTAAGAATAGGATCGCTTTTATTTAAACTTTTCCTGGATTTACTTTCTCAAGTGAAGATAAATCATTTGTTTTATAAGTCGAGAGCCAGCCACGTGCTCTGTGGTCCACCTCAGGCAATAAATTCCCTCTGTGCCATTTTTCTTGTCTCTTTCCATATAGTTTGCTGTGTCTTATACAGAGACTCCTGAAAAATTCTTCCCACTTGTGTACGAAAGCCACGACTTCCTTCCTCCAGGGCATTGATGGTTCGCAGAGCAAAGGGAGTCCTTTCCCGGGTCAGGGGATTGTTCAGGGGCCGCATGGGTATAACAGAGTTGTATTTGTGCTGCCTGTTCACGGAGTTCATTAGGGACGTATAGAACTGGAACCTACACCAGGTATCTCTTAAAAAGTTTTCAGTCAACAATAAGATGGTCCACGCAGACCCATTTACAGCATCATCTAAATTCTGTAAATGCTGTCTGCCACATGGCATCTCAGCAAAGATGATTCCAGGTTTGATGCCAAAGTCATTTTGGAGCAGATCCTGGACTCTGAGAGCTTCGTCTGTGTCATCCTCTGCGTGCAATATCACAAATTTGAAGAACACCTCTTCTTCTGCTTCCTCTTCAGACATCCCATCCACGCCCGCAGCTCCCGCCAGCTCTCCTGTTGGCATCTCTGTTGTGCAGCTGTGCTCAGCAACATCACGCAGGGAGATGTCAGATTTCTTGGAATTGGACTCATGATGTCTCTGACTTGTAGCCACACTGTGGCTTTTTCCCAAAGAGAGAGAAAGAGAGCAGGGATCTATTTTAGATTTCGTGATACCCATGATAAATATCCAAGTTAGAAGAGAAAAGTTTTATTTCTCAGCATTTCTTTTCATTCTAAAAGAAGAAATAACAAAGAGAAGAACATTGTAAATTTAATCAAAACATTAAAAATAGAAACTTGCATTCAACATGAAAAGCTCAAAAAGATGACAATATATAGGTCCTAAGGAAGAAATGCCACACAGATCATTGGGAAACAAAATCAACTGTCTTTTGTGAGCTTCACAAGGGCTACTACAGGTAGTCAAAGGTAAGTTAAACCGAGTGTCCAGGCAAATATAATAGGAGACATTTGGAAGTTTTAAATGACATTCTATTAGCACTATAAACCTCCAAATTAAAATGAATTACTTTGGTATTATAGTGAAGAGGTATCATACCACTCTATCCATCTGCAGCTAAAATCCAACTTCTCTATTATCAAATTATTGTATAGACTAGAAACATGAACATTTAAAGAAATAGAATATTCAAATATTAAGTACAAAATTTATATCTGCATCAAATACAAAACATAATACAAATATTCTGAAGTTGGCCAGCAGGCAGCTCTACTGACTCAACATAAAAAGATGAAAAATGTCAAATCTCACTGGTTCGGAGCTTTTTTGTTTGTCTAAGATCAGCCATTATGGCTATAGTGGGGTTGGTGGAGAAATTATAGTAAGGGTTGTAAAAAGTAAGGAATTCTTTTTTCGAGCTAATCGTGGGAATACTGAATAAAAGTATTTATTTACATAAGGAAAAATCTCAGTTTGGAAGTGAAATCTAGAAACAAACACTTCTGATTTTCTCCAATGAAATCAACAAAGAATCATTATTGTCTAAATTCATTATTTTATTTTAAATACTAGAGGCCCAGTGCGTGGGATTCGTGTACCAGTGGGGGGTGTGGCCTGCAGGGATCCGCCCACTATGGGCGTGCCGCTCAGCCCAGCGGCTCTCCCATTGCGTTGAGTGTCTGCCCCCTGGTGGTCAGTGCGCATCATAGCGACTGGTTGACCGGTCGTTCTGCTGTTTGGTCATTGGGCTTTTATTATATAGGATTCTAATTTCAGAGTGGAAGAATTAAATCAGACATAAAAGAAAAGTATTCCATGTGAATCTAATTTAAATAAATGTTCAGATAATGTTGGTAATGTAACTCCAAAATAGGCAGTGACAAGGGGGATTCTTTTATCAAAAGACAGAAAGTTCAGAATACATAACTATAGGCTCCATATTTTCAAATATGGGCCCATTCTGCTTATTTTCCAGAGCATTTTTATTTATTGTTCATGGGCAAAGACCATAGTTCAGGAAGAAATCAGAATTACATTAATAATGACACAAATAACACAGCTTCATATACCAAATAATTCAGGTTTAGAAGAAACCATTCAAAATGGTGAAAAATTGTTATGGGAAGAAAAGATAAGGAAAAAACACCTAGAACTTCTTTCTCGTATATATAAAGCATGAAAGGGTTTGCTGCTGCCCCTGAACAGTGAAGGCATTGCCAGCTCCTGTCTGTCATTTATTATATCTGTACTTCAGGTTCTCACTCCATAGTATATTATGTCAACTACCAAGAGATATTCTAGGCATAATAATTCTAAACTGATACATACATACATATGTACATTCCAAGTAATTAAAAACAAATGAATCTGAACTCTCTTCACTGGTTAGGATTAACTGCCGACTTTGTTACTGCATTATGAAAACAGGTTGTACCATGCAAAGTTGCAGAAAGAAGCTTCCCCTGCCTAATAAAATAACTGTTAAGCCATTCAGAGACATTGATTTACTGTGCCAATTAAAATGATCTTCACTTCTTCATTGAATAGGTTTGTTAAAGCAACTTACTATCATTGTCTTGATCACTAGCTGCTGCAGGTAAGTGCACTTAAGTAATAAACGATATTCATAAAAATGTCAAAAACTTCTAAGGTAAAATGCTGTGTCAAGCCAGATCACAAAGTCTTTTAAACTAATTTTTTTTTTTAAATTACAACTTTATGCCTTAGTTTTCTTAAATTCCAGTCAGCAAAAAGAGCAAAACACTCCAGAAACCTCTGTGTGCTATTCAACTTTCAAGCACTCCCACCCACCCTTAAGCAGAAAAAAGTGAATGACAGTGTCTGAAAAGCTTCACTATGACCTTCTAATTTGGAGGGAGAGAGTAAGGAGATGGCCAAGGGGAAAGGATGTGGAAAGCTGTGTGCTGAGACCTGCCTTTCCTACCATCAATGATGCACAGCCAGGCAGATGGTCCAGATTCATCACTGGGGTTCGCAAGGCTGGAAGAAAGGAGAGAACCTGAGTGTGCTCACTCTGAGCCATTAACTCCATTGATAAAGGGCTTTACTAGATCAGAAGGAAGGCTTGGAATGCTGAAGGAAAAGGAGGAAGAGTGAAAAAGAATCTCGGGAAGCTCCCTTTAAAGTTCTCCTTTCCATATCAGCACATAGAGAACTTCCTCACTCTTACTTACCATGACACAATCTTCCAGCATGTGGATGGACTATAACTGCCCCCTGTTCCTGCTTGTGTGAGTTGTTTCCAGTCTACTACTATTACGAACAATACTTTAATGAATAACTTTGGGCAAAAGTCATTTCATATGCGTGCAAGTTCATCTGTAGCAGAATTCTACCAAATGGGATTTATATATCAAGTAACAAATGCCTTGTGATAACGATAGATTTGGCCAAATTGCTCTCTATGAGATTGAACCTTTTTTGTTTGTTTGTTTTTAACTTGATACAATGACACCTCCATCTCCCCTCCCCATCTCCCCTCCCTTGCTCCAGCAAAGATCTAAGGCCATGGAAGCCACCAATTACTACTGACCACAGCCCAACAGAGCTAATCACATCCCCTTAGGCAAGCGAAATGTGGAAAAATATAACCCGTCCGAATGAAGCCCGAAACTGAGGTTCTGAAGGAAAGATCAGAACAGGTCTGAGATAAGAGGGAATGAAGGCCCACAATGTACTCACTTTATATCTAGGCTAAAGAGGTTCCGATAGAACCCCATATTAAACAGGAGTAAGAGGGAAAGAACAGCTTGCCAAATATGCAAAAATATTACAGGAAATAAAAAAGAATATAAAGAAGAATCATAGCATGCAAAAGTCAAATAAAAAATTCCATTTTCCTTAAGACTCTGGAATCAGACTGTCTGAATGTAAATCCCAGCTCTGCTACAAAAAAACTGGGAAACCTTGTGCAGTTACCAAATATCTTTGTGCTTTGATTTCACCATGTGTAAAATGGTAATAATTACAGTACCTACATTTAGGGGTCTTAGTATATAATTATAGTACCTAAGAAGATCAAAATGGCTTAGAACAATGCCCCCAAAATTTTAGCAGCTATTACTGTTATTACATACGTAACAAGGTAAAGAAAAATTTACACAACAAACGCTTATGCTCCGGGACAGTGCAACTCCAAGTGTAGTGCGTGGACAAGTTGCCAGTCTCTGAACTTTTTGGTGCCAGTCTATGTCACGATAAGGAGATTGTGCCAGAGTGTCCATCAACTACATCTGTTAAATATGCTGTTTAATTCTGCAGACTTTTTTTTCATAGTAAGACATTCTCAATGAAGAAAGCAGCATGGTTGACATTGGATGCATGCTTCTTACATTACAGACAAGCACTTTGAGTAATACCGCTCTAGGAGACACAAAAGAGAACATGTAATTCATAAAACAAAAATATTAAAAATGAGATTAACAGAATTAGATGGAAAGGGAAGCTATAGACAAAACAAGGACCTAACACTATTAGGAAAAAAATAGAAACAGCAAAGAGTGAAGTAAATATGAAATCAAAACCATATCAGTTAAACATGGAGGAAAGACTTGAAAAAAAAATCACAGAATATGGAAAGGAAAAAAAAGACACCCTCCACCCCAATAAAGCAATTTGAAAAAAAGATAAAGCTATGGAGATTTCTTTTTTTTAAAATACATTTTATTGATTTTTTACAGAGAGGAAGGGAGAAGGAAGGAGAGTTAGAAACATCGATGAGAGAGAAACATCGATCAGCTGCCTCCTGCACAATCCCTACTGGGGATGTGCCCGCAACCAAGGCACATGCCCTTAACTGGAATTGAACCTGGAACCCTTCAGTCTGCAAGCTGACGCTCTATCCACTAATCCAAACTGGCCAGGGCTGGAGATTTCTTTTAAAAGACAATCAATAAAATGAAAACCAATGCATCTGAAACAGAAAACCCAATGATCATAACAAAAACATTCAAAGATATAACAAATTCATCACCCTAATCCAAATGATCAATCTTACTGATGACAACTAGACATCATGTACCTCCTGGTGTGCATTCGATATGATATGCACAGCATAATGTATGACAAGATTTGCTAATGATGTCGAGGAAGCACAGCATATAGTCTGGGTTTGGAGAAGAGGTCCAGCCAGGAGGTGGGTATTTGGCATTTAAAACCTAAAGATTATATGAAATTATTAAGGGAGTGAGAAAAAGGAAGTGGATTTTGCCAGTCCCCACAATCATGTGAGCCAATTCCTAAAATAAATCTCCCTTCCTCCCTCCATCTCTCCCCTCTCTCCCTCCTCTAACCTAGTATTAGTCATGTTTCTTTGGAGAACCCTAATACCACCTTCTTTAAAAGTTTGTTGCCCTAAAATTAAGAGTTAATGTTTGCATTTTTAAAACATTATGACCACTTGGGAAGAGAGGCTCCCAAACAATAAATAAAATAAAAATCATTAATAATTTGATAATAAAATACACGCACATATACAATTTTTAAATCTGTCCATGTATTTACCACAAAAAAAATTTTTGTGTTTAAATCACAGCCCCTGAAATTTAACACATTTAAAAGTAATGCATCTAGGACTAGACTTGAATCCTCCAGCCTTTTAGTTTTCTGTCCTATCTAAACAGCTCCATCTTGTGGCAA